CCAAAACTCCCAATAATTTTATCAAGGGGGCTTTCACTCAAAAAAAATCCCAATAAAACCCAATAATTTTATTAAGGGAGCTTTTACAAAAACCACCTCCCAATAAACCCCAACAGTTTTATTTTGTTAAATCCCCTCTCTACCTTTCTTTTTTTCTCTCTCTCTCTCTCTCTCCTCAGCATCCTCACTGGTCAGCATCATCCTCGTCCAAGCTCCTTCCTTTCTCTGGTCCCTCGGTGCTTCCTCCTCCTCGTCCATCATCATCATCTTCTTTCTCTTCCTTCCCTCCCTCCCTCACCATCATGACGTCCAACGGGACTTCGGAGTCGCTCCAGATCCAGTTCGGCTTGATCAACTGCGGCAACAAATACCTGACGGCGGAGGCCTTTGGCTTCAAGCTCAATGCCTCAGCGCCCAGTTTGAAGAAGAAGCAGATCTGGACCCTGGAGGCCAACGGAGGCGATGAGTCTTCAGGCTCGGTCCTGCTCCGGAGCCACCTGGGCCGGTACCTGGCAGCCGACAAGGATGGCAAAGTGACCGGGGACAGCGAGGTCCCAACGGCAGACTGCCGCTTCTTGATAGTGGCCCATGACGATGGCCGGTGGTCCCTCCAGTCGGAGCCCCACCGCCGCTTCTTCGGTGGCACCGAGGACCGTCTCTCATGCTTTGCCCAGTCTGTCTCGGCGGCCGAGAAGTGGAGCGTCCACCTGGCCATGCACCCGCAGGTCCACCTCTTCAGCCTCAGCCGCAAGCGCTACGCCCACCTCAGCCAAGGCCAAGGCGATGATGCTGATGCTGCTGCCGAAGTGGCGGTCAGCCGTGATGTTCCCTGGGGCACCGAGGCGCTCCTCACCCTCGTCTTCCACGACCACCGCTATGGCCTCCAGACGGCCGACCACCGCTTTCTCCGCCACGACGGACGCCTTGCCCCTGGCCCCGAGCCCGGCACCGGCTTCACCCTCGAGTTCCGCTCGGGCAAAGTGGCCTTTCGGGACTGCCAGGGCAAGTACCTGGCCCCCTCCGGCCCCAGCGGCACCCTCAAGGCTGGCAAGAGCCCCAAGGTGGGCAAGGATGAGCTCTTCGCCCTTGAACAAAGCTGCCCCCAAGTCGTGCTCCGTGCTGGCAACGAGAGGAATGTCTCCACCAGGCAAGGTCAGCAACTCCACCAGCCCTCCCTCTGTCCCTCCATGGCTGCCTTCCTTGCGCCTTTGTTGCTTCCCCTCTGGGTTCACATGTGCCTGCAGTCCCCGTGTCAGGCCTTGGTTATCCCTCCTTTCTCCTTAAGCCTTGGGACAAGGGCATCAAGAGGGAGGTGCTGGTCACATCAGGTGACACTTAAGAGATGTGTGTGTGTGAGAGAAACATCACTCATTCATTCATTCATTCATTACATCTCTTTCTCCTTCTTTGTTTCTTCTCCATGCCTACTCTTCTCTGTACTCACACACATGCCTACAGTTCCTGTGTCAGATGCTGGTTTTCTTTGCCTTTTCTCTCTGCAGGCCTCAGGACAGGAGCATGGCTGGGGGTGTGTGGGCTGCACTAGGTGACACCCTAAGAGGGGATGTGACGCCATTCATTCTTTGCGCTTTCATTTCTTTGCACCTTTCTTCTCTGGATTCACACATGACTACAGTTCCCATGTCAGGCGCTGGTTTTCTTCACTTTCTCTGCAGGCCTTAGGACAAGGGTATCAATAGGGGATGCGGGCTGTACCAGGTGATTCCCAAAGGGGTGTGGTGAGACCACTCATTTATTCATTCTTTGTGTCTGTGTTTCTTCTCCATGCCCTCTCTTCTGTCGATTCACACATGCCTATAGTTCCTGTGTCAGGCACTGGGTTTCTTCCCCTTCTTTCTCTGCACACCTCAGGAGAGGGGCATGACTTGGAGGGTGAAGGCCGCACCAGGTGAGGAGGTGTGACACCATTCATTCATTGCACCTTTGTTTCCCCTTCCTTCTCACCTCCTTTGTTGCTTCTCCTCTGGATTCACACATGCCTACAGTCCCCATGTCAGGCAGTGGGTTCAATTTCTCTCTATGTAAGCCTTAGGACAGGGATGCACCAGGTGACACCCTTAAGGGGGTGTGGGACACCACTCTTTTATTCATTCATTCCACCTTTCTGTCGTCTTCCTTCTTGCCTCCTTTGTTGCTTCTCTGGATTCACACATGCCTACAATCCCTGTGTCAGCCACTGGTTTTCTTCACCTTCTCTCTCTGCAGGCCTCAGGACAGGGGCGTCGCTAGAGACGTGGAAGGGTGCAGGCCACACCAGGTGACACCCTAAGGCAGTGTGTGTGAGAGAGATATTCATTCATTCTTTACACCTCTGTTTTCTCCTTCTCTCCTTTGTTTCTTCCCCATGCCCTCTCTTCTGTCGATTCATGCAATCCTACACTTCCCATGTCAGGTTTTCTTCACCTTCTCTCTCTGTGCACCTCAGGACAGGGACGTCACTAAGGGGATGCAGGGTGGATGGGTTTCAGGCTGCACCAGATGACTGCCTAAGGGGTGTGTGATACCACTCACGTACTCATTCTTTGTGCCCTTGTTTCTCCTTCCTTCTTTCCTCCTTGTTTCTTCTGTGGATTCACACATGCCTACAGCTTCCGTATTGCCTTCTCTCTCTGGAGACTTGAGGTTGCCTGGGGATGGGGCCTCAACTCATTAGAGTAGACCTACTGAATCAAATACCCTCAAGACACCAGCTCCCCTTCTGATCTTGGAAGCTAAGCAGGGTCACCCCTGCAAAGGGATATTGTAGCACCTTTGGGACTAACTAAAAGAAAGCAGCTTTCCTTGGCTTGACTCTACTTCCTTAGATGCATGTATGGGCTCAGCCAAGGTTAGTACTTGGATGGGAGACCATCAGCAAAATTAGGTGCCTGTAGGCTATAGTTCAGAGGAAGGAACTGGGAAAACCACCTCTGGGTATCCCTTGCTTCAGAAAACCCTATGGGGTTTGCGTAAATGAACAGACAACTTAAAGGCACATACACACTGAGTCAATGGGATCTATTTCTCCATTCAACAATTGACTGAACAAGTCTACTCTTGTTGGGCTTGACCAACAGGAGACCAGTTTCTATGGAAAGGTGTTTTGCTATCTCTCCTATCTCTCTTTCTTTTCACCTAACCCCTATGTTGACCAGAATCTGATTCACAAGGTTGTGAATTCACAATGTTTAACAATGCCCAAGGTTGTGAAGTCAGCAGTTGATTTTGTTGTTGGTGGTGATGGTGTTTAACCCTTCCTTTCAGTTGGCCTTATGGTTGGAGACTGGCTGTGTGTGTCAAGGGAGGCTGTTAGAAGATACTGATACCTCCTCCCTTCCCCTTGCCTGACCCGAGGGGTTGTTTTTAAAACAACAGTATGATTCATACATGCATCAGGCTGTTGGGCTGTACAGTTGGGTTCCTCTCCTTCTCTGCTTGTTCATTTGAGTAGACAGTTTCAAAGGCATTGTGTCCAAAGATGCTTAGAGCTTTCGGTGTTTGGACCCACCCAGAATGTACAAAGCAATTTGATTTTTTTAAGCTATCAAGCAGGGAAGAGATCTTTGTGGATTGGCCTTTCCTGGGATGTCATTGTTTGAATCTGAAGCAGGAAGGAAGTTCGGTGGTTGAGGAGGTTCTGCTGCCGCTTCTCTAGGCTCCAGACTCCCCACTTCGATTTTTAATTTTATATTTTGTAATTTGAACGCCTTTCCAGTGAAGAGATGGTTTGCCATCTTGAAACTAACAGAGCTGGCCTGTAGCGTGGGCTTTGGAAGTAGCCACCAGCCTAAGGCCACTCCTTTGGGATACTTCCTGTTAAAAGTTGATCCATTTTGATGCTGTCGCCTGTTAATATGCATAACATGTGTTTTTCCTTCCTGCTCCAAGCAAGATTTCTAGCGGATGCGAGTCATTTGAAAGAAGGGACAGAGTGGAAGGAACCTTCCTCTCCCATGGGCTGAAAAATTGTATCTGGTCTTTACTTTGTGTAACTAGAAGTGGGTGGGGGTCCTTTAAAAAATGGTGATCAAAGTTGGCATCCCTGTGGTGGGTGCATAAGAAGTTGCTAAAAACTGGCTCCCCCTTTCCCAAAAAGCTTATGATCAAAATCCTTCTTGAGAGCCAATGCTAGATGGAATAGAACAGCAGTTTGATTTATTCCTTTTTTCCTCTAAAACATATTGCTCTGTTGCCTTAAAGAACATGGCAGCCACATTTCTTGTCTCTCCCTTCTTTGTCCTCTTGGGTCTCCTCAGACACGTGGCAAATAGAGATGGGTTCAAAATTCAGATTATGACATATCTCCCCTGTCTGCAGTGTGTTGGTGGGAAGACAGCCAGAGAAAGGTGCCCCCAAACTAGCCTGGAGAAACCCACTTCGTCTTCTGTCTCTCTTTCTCCAAATCTACTGCCAACCTTTCTTTTCTACATCTCATTTTTCTCCCTGGAGCTCTAGGAGTCTCTCTCTGTTTGAGCTCCCCCTTCCCAACTCCTCATTGTTTGTGGCCTAATACAGCCCTCAGTTAAGAGCTTCCAAAATCAACCCTCCCCACCCCCAAAACAAAAAAACCTGAGAGGCAAATAAATCCATTCCCCACCTATGCAGAATCTCCCTTTATGTTTCACAGGGCTTTGTGTATGGATGGAGGGGTATAGCAGCTGGGCTGGATTTAAGATAGGCTGAGATCCCTTCATGACAGTAAAGGGAGAGTAATTAAAGAGAGAGAACTAAACAGCAATTAAAGAGAGAGAATTACAAAGACAGAATGAGAAATTTAGTTTTTAAAGTGTGTGTGTGTATTAAGTGTGGACAGATAGATTGGGTTTGTTTTAGCTTCTGAAACCTGTGTGTAAATCTGGTTTGTTGCTGTTGTGTGCTTTCAAGTAGTTTCTGATTTATGGCGGCCCTATCATGGGTTTTCTTGGCAAGTGACTTCAGAGGGGGGATTTGCCATTGCCATCCTCTGAGGCTGAGAGAGTGTAGCTTGCAGTGAGTTTCTGTGGCTGAGCTGGGGTTCGAACCCTGGTCTCCAGAGTTGTAGTCTAACGCTCAAACCACTACAGCCCTCTGTACAAAAGAGTCTTGTGGAATAAAAGGGTGGGGTGGCCCATTTTCAAGAAAGAGATGTCCCTGCCGCTCTCGGAGTAAGCAAAGAGGATGCCAAGTCCAAGCATGTGCATCCCAGCATCAGTTTAACACACACGCACACACACACCCGACCCCAGCCACGTGGTGCTCCATCCGCTTGCCAGACCTTTCCTTCCCAGCAGCCTCTCGGTTCCTTGCACACGCCTTTCCCCCATCCATCCATCCATCCATCCCTACTTCTACCACCCCACCCCCTGCCTTTCTCTAGGTTGCCTTCTGCTTCTGCCTGCCTGCCTTCCTCAGCTGTGCTCTTACTACCTGCTGTGCAATTGTCCAGGCCCTGCCTTCTCCCAGTTGTCTCCTTCCTCTCTCCTCCTCCTCCTAACCTACAACTGCTTGATCAGACTCCTTAACCCATGAGCCATTTTGGTGGTGCCTGAGTTTGCTTTATGGACTCATGCACCCACACGTCTCTTATGCGTCTCTTATATAAAAGCCAGCTGGGCATTTGGCATACGTTGGATCAAGAGAGAATAAAAATGCAGATTTTTTTTTAAACCCACGGCTTCAGAAACCATCCTTGACCTGAAAATATTTTAAAAAAGCAAGCCTTGTTTTTACCTTGGTGGTAGAATTCAAAGATATAGCCGCATTATTCTGTAGAATCGGTATGTAGAGAGATTTTGTAGTAACCTTTGAGACTAACTGAAAGAAAGAAGTTGGCAGCATGAGCTGTCGTAGATTTATGCTGGCCGAATGGCTGTAATAAAAGATTGATTGATTGATTGGCGTAGATTTCATTCTACTTCCTCAGATGCATTTCAGTCTTTTTCTTCAGATGAATTCCACTAAATGCATCCGAGGAAGTAGACTTCAGTCTACAAAAGCTCATGCTGCCAACTTCTTTCTTTCAGTTAGTCTCAAAGGTGCTACAAGATCTCTTTATGTACATGTTTTACCTTGTTTTATATAGAAGACACCCTTTCACTACACCATTGTGTTTATTGGCACTTGAGCATCCACTCATTTTTATATTTACAGAGGGTCCTGCAACCACATCCCAGTGGATACCAAGGCCACACAGCATCTTCTTGGCTGTCTCACTAAGGTTGTTATTGTTGTGTGCCTTCAAGTCATTTCTGACATGTGTTGACCCTAAGGCAGGCCTATCATGTGGTTTTCATTGCCAGGTTTGTTCAGAGGGGTTCTGTTGTTGCCTTCCTCTGAGGCTGAGAGAATGTGACTTGCCTAAGAGCATCCATGGCTGAGCAGAGATTGGAACCCTTGTCTCCCAGAATCTTGGTCAAACCATTACACTACACAAGTTCTACACTGGTAGCCTTTCCCAGGCTGGAGCCTCACCCCAAATATCTTGGACCACGACTTTTATCATACCCAGTCATCATGGTTGCTGGGATAGTCACCTATTCCTATATCAAACCCACACCTGGAAGTCTCTCTCATCCCCTTACCCTCTCTTTTATTCCCTTCCATCTGCTCTTCTATTCTTCTTTTCCCTTTTCATCCTGCCCCACACATTTGTTGCAGCAGTTTCCCTGTTGTTGTTTTTTTCTCCTGCACTCTTTCTGCCTCAGACCTTATCATGGCTTCTTCCTCTGAGATAAAATGCAAAATATTTAATGAGATTCTGTAAATCTTTGCAGGGGAGAGGGAGAGGGGGAAATGAAGAACTTAATCATTGCCTTTTTAGCTGCACCAAAATAAGAAAGGAGGAGGAAGGGAGGAGAGCTTTGATGGAAAGGTTTGCTTTGCAGAAAGAGCTGCTTTTGATCTCCCCTTGAGTCAGCTTTTTTTAAAAGAGAAAAGGAGCCAGTTCCCACTCCTCTCTCAGTATTTCTCACCCTTTTCTGTTCACAGCTGCTGGGGGTGTCCTTGAAGTGTCCTCTTTTGGAGAGCTGGCCAGAAAAGGGGGTCTTGAGCAGCTTTTCCCTTTTTTATAGCAGTGCCCCACCTTTTCCCATTCCTGCAGGGATTCATTGTAATGGGCTGGAAAAAGAGATTTTCCCCTCCTTTAAGCATCTGCTGGATCTTCCTTGGGAGAATATTGAAATGAAGGGTGTTCAAATTAAAGAGACTTCTTCTATCTGATGCAGTGGGCAGCTGTGGGGTTGGGGTGTGTGTCTCTTTTTCACATCTCTACAGACTTCATTTGGCTTTTCATCTTGTCGTTTTGGTACATCCAGAAACCTCATCTTGGTTTCTCTTTTTAAAAATAAGCAGACTCAAGGGGAGATCAAAAGCAACTGATTCTGCAAAGCAAACCTTTTCATTAAGGCTCTTTTCCTTCCTTCCTTCCTTCCTTCCTTGTTTGGATGCTATTAAAAAGGCAGTGATGGTTCATTGTTCCCATCTATCACTGTAAAGATTTTCAGAATCTTTACCCCCTTTTTTTATCTTGGGAGAAGCCTGACTGACTTTTCTGCAGCAAAATACACAGTTTTCCATTGTACAATATATGTTACACAGATGTGTGCTTTAAAGCACAGCAATCCTGAAAATCTACATGCGGAGAATCTAAATTCTGCAACTTGTAAAAATCATGTAAACTGGCTTAATTGGCATTTCTTTTCTTTTTCAGTTGCATAATTTTGGTTTCTTTGTCCAATTATAGGGAGGCTTCAGGATTTACACAGGGCACTGACTGAATAGATATGGACAAGTACATATAGGTCCAAAACACACTGCAAAAATAGTCCAGTTTGAGACTGCTTTAACTGCCCTGGCTCAGTGCTAGGGAATCCTGGGAATTGTAGTTTATTGTGGTACCAGAGTGCTCTGACAGAGAGGACTAAATGTCTCATAAAACTACAGTTCACAGAATTCGTTAGCATTGAGCCAGGGCTGCTAAAGCGGTCTCAAACTGGATTATTTCTGCAGTGGTTTTGAACCATCGAACCACAAAGAGGGGGAAAGTTGTTCAGCCACTTCAGATTTTCCTACTTGTGTGGTCATTAAGAGCCAAGGACTTTAAAAAGTATGACAGCTGAGACTCTCTGAAATCTACATTCGATGTCCCAGTGGTAATATCGAACTCTATCTTTTATTCTGCCTTCAGATTTGGAATACAGGGAAAGGAAATCTTGTCTTGAATCCTCCATTCCCTTAGCCTTTTCCAATTTCTGCAGTCTGCAGAATTCTGGAGCTTGACATAGTTTTATAAATGGATTTTCACTGAAAATCTGAGTTGAGTGGCCAGCTTCTAAGCTGTGCAGGGCCAAGTGTGACCTACATTAAAGCAACACAAAGGCAGCTTTGCCTCTCCTGCCCCTTCAGTTGACTTAGCTATGGTCCCAGTCTCCTTCCTTCTCCCTCTCTCATTCATAGTGAACTTTGGAAGCTTGCTTGCAGCCAGCAGACTTGCTCATGCAAAGTGGGGAATGGGGTGTGGAGTCCTCTGGGAGTTGTGGGGTCTAAGCATGACTGGAAAGGAATGGTGTCTTTACTGAAGCATTCCCAAAATGTTTTGCATTGCAGCTCCTATCTTCCCAGTCACTGACCCTCTCATCTCATGATGCTAGTGTTGGAGGGCATCAAGTTAGGGAAGTTTCTGCCTGGCTAGGAACTATCTATGAGCTTTTTTGCAATATTGTTACCTCAATATTCCAGCTTTCGTCTGGTGAGTGAAAGGAGGTACATATTGGCCTCTTCCCTACAACGACCTTATGGGGTAGGGGAGGCTGAAAGAGACTGGCCCAAGTCTCTTTCAACCTCCCCAACCTGTGAGGTTTTATTACTAAGCAGGGCAGAATTTGAATTTTTAGTTCAACCACAATACTACACCACACTTTGTACAGTGCGCTGCAAAGTGAGACATACAGGGATATCCCAGTTAATAGAATTCAGGTTCTCGGAGTGTGATTCTCTATCATGGGGTTTTCTTGGCAGGATTTGTCCCAAGGAGGTTTGCCTTGAGGCTGAGAGCATGCAACTTGCCCAAGGCCACCAGTAAATTTCATGGTTGAGTGGGGAATTGAACCCTGGTCTTCGGAGTCAACACTCAGACCACCATGCCACATCTGACTCTCTGCCCTGCCTAATGCAGGTAGCATTTTATGAGCGAATGGTACATGGTAGAGGAGCAGCTTTAAGCATTTTTCTTTAACTCTATTAGTGTGTCTGAAGAAGTGGATTGCAATCCACAAAAGCTCATCATGCCAAAATCAATCCATTAGTCTTAAAGGTGCTGCTAGATCCCTCCTCCCCTCCGCTATTTCCTTCTTCACCAGGGAATGGCTCTCAAAATTGTGTGCACGAGTTCTCTTTTTAAAAAGGCATCGGAGCAGCCTCTGGTTTTGACCTGTGCACGAGTCTTTCCCTTTTGCCATTCAAGCCCTGCTACCTTGCCACTCACCCATCTCTTGAGCAGAGCTATTGAGTGCAGTGCTTTTTCTTTTGGCAGATGTGAAACATTTGTCTGCTTGGAAAGGGGGGATGGTGGAAAGCAAGGGCTGGGAGAACAAGGGGAGGATTGTGATGGCGAGGGAGAGGCCATTTTGGAGCTTAGTTGCTGAGTTGGGGGGCTGGTGGGGAAGGAGCGGAGGCTCCTGTTTCAGTCCTTTGTCACTGTGGAAAACCAGATGTGAGGCAGGCATAGTGGGGGAGGTTGGCTTCATTGTATGGAGAAGTACAGCCCATGCTCAGCTCTGTGCTGCTTGAGAGGTGGTTGCAAGCAGCCGGTTCACCGCCTTCAGTTGCAAACTGGGGAGGAGATGACCATGTTAGAAGATGATGGCCTCTTCCCATTTTACCCTGGGGTTAAGAATTCGGACATTGTCCACTGCATGTTGACTTGCCCCTTGTATAGCAACCCGAAAGAGAGATTTCTCAAAGCCCTGCTGACTCATGGAAATGCAAAGTGGGAACTCCCTTATAGGATTGGCTCAATTTCTTTTCAGCGATACCAATGTCTTGTGTCACACACTATCTTTTTGCTTTAGTTAAAAAAAAAAATCAAAAGCAGAGG